GGTCCTGACTCGTGGTGCTTGTGCAAACACGTATTGCCCCTCAAGAGTGGAACGCTGCGTCATACGTTGTAAGTCCTGTAAGAACCTATGTCTACAAAAGCAGTCTTGCTTTTGTACTAATAGCACACAAGCCCTTGTTAAAAACAGATTTCAACTCAGCTGCTTCTTCAGTTACTGTATAAAGCCAAAAGTGGTTTTCCTCATTGTTCTTTATAGCCTTCCCAGATCTTCTAGCCACAAACACATCATTTATTTAAGACACATAAACAACCATGATTTAAGTCAACTTTTCATTCAATGGGAAGCCCATGAAAGAACTACTTTCCTTCTGTGTGTTACTTGCCTGCAAGGGCTGGAGTCTCTCTTTGCAAGTTCCTGGTGGTAACCCCAAGCAGTTGTCAAAGCTTGTTCCATATTTGCCATTTTAAGAAATTCCTGTGAGTTTATTCCATTACAGAACCATTCAGTCACCATTTGGCACCTTTTTTTGCACCAGATGACGAGTCAAAGAACTTCATGATCTCTGAAAAAGGCAGACCCTTAACCGGACTTGATGTCAGAATGCAAGACCCCCTAACCTCTTGTCAGAATGCAAGATGTATCTACTGCAGTTCCCATACAAACTTGCATGACACCTAAAGCTTGTTATACAGTTCCTTGTCTGACAATAAGTGAATAGAGTTATAATTCAGATTGTTATTTTGCAAGTGAATATTTATACAGGGTCACCATCTCAATCACAAAAAACCCTGAACCAAGATGGTTAACAGCTCAATCAACAAAACAGTCATATGAAACCAGTTAAAAAAAAACCCTTGCTGCAATATACAGAAATAAATAAAACACCACCCTTCTGCTTTTTAAAATCAGGGCTGGTCTCAGTCGAGAACATGCTGTACACTTGTCTCTCTGGCAGCATGCCCTATACCAGAAGTAACAGAATTTCTCCAAAAATCCCCTCTTCCCAGCTAAGAGCTGCAAGGAACACAATATTGATTGCTGTATCTGAGGGCTGGCTGACAAACCGCCCTGCCCGGTGGGATTCAAAGACCTGCAGTAGCCGTTCTAAGATTAGCAGGCCATTCCCTCAGAGCACGTGTCTTCGTGATCTCTTCTTCTGACAGGGTGAGCAATCCTCTCTGGGCCCACTGGTGCAAACCTGCTCAAATCGGTGTCATTCAAGGGAGTGCCCTACAACATGTCTCAGCTCAGATGGAGCACACCCTGACTTGACAACCCTCAACATCTCACACCTATAAAGGCAGCGGGGTGTTTAGCTGGCACTGCACTCGCTGCTTGCTGCCTCAGGCATACCTCTATGCTGATTCTGTAGCACTAATAAATGTCAAATACTGGCAATCTTTGTTTAGCATTTGTTGAAAAAATACACTGCTTGCCATTGTGCTTACACCTGTAGTTTCTGCTGCTCTTCATGCTGCACTGAATTAGCCACCATTTGAGACCTATTGTTAGGCAGACTTGCCTTATTCTTTGGCATGGGTCTGTAAGAACTACCACTTGGTGGAGGAATGCTTGCATCCTTCAAAAACTGGAAAGGGCAACCAAGTACATTAATCAACACTTTGTATTTCAAGCATTGCACTAGAACGCAGCCACGGCTTCAACAGTCCTTGCCTCCCTCTTCTGCAGAGCAAGTCTTGGATCTATCAGACAAGGACCGATTCATGGGACCATGCAGCACAAACTAAATAGTGCTTTTCAGCTGGCATCACTGGCAGTGAATTCAGATGCCACATCTGAGACCATCTGCTAGGACCTGATACTTGCCTTTCAGCACCAGCCACCTTCCCCATCCTCTAGGGTTTCACAATTATTAAGGGGCAACGTGACCTTGTGGAGACTTACAATCCTCAATATACCTTACCAGTCAACAGTCAGATTAGGGTAAATTCACCAACAGAGGTTTTTCCTAGTAGATACTTCTCACCTATGGGTGAAGAATTTCACATGTCCATGTGCTGCACTCTGTATCAAAACACTGATTATTATACTATGATTATGTGAGCAGGATGGGCTAGTCTCTTTTTGCAGGCTGTTGTAGACTACTGTGGGAGAATCACCAATGGCATAATAAATGAGAGCCTGTATTCATTTATTTAAGACAAGAGGAAACGGTCTCAAGTTGTGCCAGGGGAGGTTCAGGTTGGACATCAGAAAGAACTTCTTCACTGTAAGAGTCGTTAAGCATTGGAACGGGCTCCCCAGGGAGGTGGTGGAGTCACCATCCCTGGAGGTGTTCAAAAAACGTTTAGATGTGGCGCTTCAAGACATGGTTTAGTGGGTTCAGCGGGCATGGTGGCATCGCGTATACGGTTGGACTTCATGATCTTTGAGGTCTCTTCCAACCTTAATGATTCTGATTCTATGCTTCCTGTATTTTCCACAACCTATTCTTCCAGTGAGAAATGTCATTTTCCAGGATGGATCAAATTTCAGGATCAGATTTTCAACCTGCACCATGTGTAATGCCATGTGCAACCTGTTATTTGGGTAGTATTGTCTTACCCAACCAACCAAGAAGCACATGCATACTTCCACCATGCCCAGAAGCTGTGAAGGGTTAAGGCTGGGTGGATGCTGGTGGAGCTTTCCACGGAGCATCACCATGCAGCTGCCACTGCCAGAGATCAGGCAATCATACTGAAGCTGTAACTGGCGTTGTCTGCGTTCGTATAGGCTGCTTTGGGCTTCTCAACCTTGAAGCAACATTCCTTAGTGTGATAGCCCATCTGCCAGAAATCCCTTCCAGAACGATGATCTGAGCCTGGATTACCTTCACACATATAGCAGTATGTGTCTGGGGGCTCTTCTCCTCTGGCCTCCTGAGAGCTCCATGGTGGTCCAGCACCAGCTTTTATTTTATTTATTTAAAAACTGCCAAAATAAAACTACCCTGGAGGCCAAACAATAAAAGGTCTTCTGTGCCAGACCTGTGTTCTGCCAGCCTGCAGCTACAGCTGTATTGTGAGGAGCAGTGCATGATGTGAAAGCAAGTAGGATTGTCTGAGGGCAGGACTCAACAGGTGAGGTGAGAAGGCCTGCTGAGATACCTCTGAGGGGCTGCCTTAGGCGGAGAAGATGAAACACGGCATGGCGTGGATCCTGGCGCAAACTTACTTCTCTTATATGCCAAGGTTTCCTGAACGGCACTGCCAGTTGGTTTGCTCCAAACCAGAGTGGGCTCGTGTGTGCTCAGTGGAGGTGACCAGAGTCCCACAAACAAACCAGCAATGGAACGCAACTGGCACCTACTTGTTCATGCAGATGCAAGAAACCACCTATGAGATCAGCATCAGCAGAGAGCAGAGAATGCCAGCATGCTTCCTACAGACAGGGACAGGACTATAACTTACAGAAACTTAGGGGCAGCACAGATCTAAGTATGATCAGTCTCAGATAACTGTTAATTACAATAATCATTATTATACAGATGGCTAGAACCTCTTTCTGGAGTTACAAAGCTGCAGGCAAACCTTGCCCTTGCTAACTAAAATAAGCTGTGGGAACTGTAAGATATCAGACATCCTTTGTCTAACAGCATATGGGCACCACAGCACCTGCATGACCACCATGCTCCACCACATACAGAGTGAAAAACAGGCTCTTTAACAGCCAGCCTAAAATGCCAAAGAATTAAACTCTACCTATTAGCATAATTCTGTTACCAAGAACACAATTGGCATGCCAAAAAGATGTTTGTAATTCATGGCTTTCTCAATCATTCTCTCACTTTGGTCTTCATTATTTTCTGGTGTCATTCAGCATTTAGAGTCAAAAGAAACTCAAAAACCCCTCTGAAATAAATGCAGATGATGAAGAGAGATCAATGCACATGGCTTTCAGTTCCCAAACTGCATCAAAATGCAACAAAAATGTTTGATGACGGCTCAGGATGGACTGTGAACTTGGTGACAGTCTAGGGTTTTAGGAAAAGAGAGCTCACTAACATGGAGAACAAACCAATATTTTAACTGTTTTCTGAAAGCTAGTTGGGCTATTAGCCACTGCTATCACATGTATCAAGTATCAAGAGGCTGGCACAACGCAGGATTACCACAATGGAGCCCTATTCTTGCTCAAGGTCTTTCAAATTCTGCAAGTTTGCAGTATTTCTGAAAATTATTCAATCTTCTGTTCTTATGGGCCTTTCAAAGTACTTCACTTAAAAATTGTAAACGGATTTCAAACTTTGGCACCTTCAAAGAAGAAGGAAAATATAGTAATAAGAAACTATATACCATGAAAATATGCTCAGTACTCCAGTGTTTGGCAAAAAGTGTCCTTAAAAGGAATTAGCTAAATGTAGATAAGCCTGTACCCTCTACAGCTGAGAAATGAAGTTTCTTTATTTTCCCAAGTAAAAGCAATAGAAGAATTTCAGAGTATTTTGACATAGTATCAAGCTGTGGTCTCAGAATTTTGGACCTCAGTGGCTGTTGCTCTCAGTTTCATTAAATTGTAAATTCAAGCAAACAAACATTTACCTTGTTATAAAGCCTCAGTTATACAGATACGTAACTTTTCATTGTCAGAAAAAAAATCCAACCAGAGTCTCATTAGCAGCGTATACATGTATATCCAGAGTCTTGTTAACAGCATATACATGTATACAGCATTGCCTAATCTTATAAAATTTGGCTGAAGAGTTGCCAGCTTTACAAGCAATAAATCATTATGATCAGATGAAAACTATAAAACATAGGAATGTGCATAAAAACAATCTTACTAATTACGATATCAAAGGAACAGAAGACTGGAAAGCAAAGTTAGTTTTAAAAATCTGTATTATAATCACAGTAAGTATGATTAACTTAGTAATAACTGTAACTTTGTATAAACACCAGGAATCACATTTACCCAGAAACCTTGTCAGAAATACACAAAACAGAACTTGGCAAAAAGAACAAAAGGTAACTACACATCAGTTGCTTACTATACCTATGAGGAGGAAGATGCAAGTTTTTGACACTTAAGTTGTATTAGGTGGGAGAAGTTGGACTGGTTACATTCTGAAAAATGAAAGAAACATTCTCTTTTATCCTTTCAAGGAAAGGATCAGGGAGAGTCTGATGTTGTCCAGAGAAATGTTTCCATTGCATCAACTGTGACATGGAGAGGGGTTTCTTTGAATTAGGCTTTCCATGGTTTTGTCCAAGCTGGCAGCTTCTAGATACAGGAGGCTTTTCTGAGGAAGGATCTGAAAAAAACGATGCAGTAGACTAATCAGAGAAAACTAAGACAGAAAATTTCAGTCTGAATCAATAAGCCAGTTGGTGCTAACAAATGAGAGAAAATAGAACAGCATATATAATCCTTCTATGTCAATGAAACCCAAACATACGTAACCACAGTAAGAGGAGAAAGGCTGTTTCTTGCGCATTGATTGAGTTTATCAAAATCACCATATGCTAGCACAAAGACAAATCCTTTGACACATGGATGGGAAAGGAAGCATCTTATCTGGGAATTTCCTTTCTCCTGTCTTCCTAATTCTGTGACTTTTGGGCTGCTCCCATTCTTTAAGTAAATCTGAATCTAGAAGTATGTTGAAGCAAAATTCATGCTACCTTCTATTTCTTCCCAGAGGAGTCATTCCAACCAGCTAAGAATAGTTTGAATAACTATTTCATTGACTCAGCACACTAGAGCTGTACATCCAGATTAAGCCAAGTTGTTCAATATACACAATATCGTATACTGTATGTCACAGTAAGGAAAAGACTACTGCTGTGAAGCACAAAGAGAGAACTTCACTTTTGACAAAGGATCCTAAAGCCCCAAACAGTACCAGGTCATCGCAGGGTATGTCACCCATTACTGGCTTCATGATTCAACTGATGCATGTGATAAATGAAGAAATAACTTTGGATGGAAAAAAATTGCATCACTGCTGTGACTGGTTTAAAACTTGTCATCAAATATTTTCATAGCAGTATTATTGCTGTGACTGGTTTAAAACTTGTCATCAAGTATTTTCGTAGCAGTATTACGTGCTCCTTAGGAAAGACCTGTGATATGATGACTCAGAGTATTCTTGAGTTTTTTAAAGCTTGGAGAGCCCATAAGGACTCATATATGCAAGACTTTCCTTTTGACTGACATATGATGCACATTTGCTAGACTTGAAATATGTTCTTTTACTGGCCAGAAGAAAATTTAGAATAGATGAACTTCTCAAGTCCTTACTGTTTCTGCATTCCCAACTCCATAAATTACACCATGATGAGGTGAAACAATAGGCTTAAAGCTTTGTAGCTGATCTGAAAGCCAGTAGAATAGCAAGGAACCCATTTGCATGATCCATGCACAGTTAATTTCTTCCTTTCAAGACTCCTGTGGTTTCCTAAAGATGGCCCTAGTGTGAATGGACACGAGGAGCTTGGTCAAGAATATCCAGTCTCTAATGGATATCATTAAGAAAAGTTCATATATTGTGAAGCGTGTATTATATTGTTTGGCTCCTCTTTAGTTTATCTTTTGAATCATGCTTGCTAGAAAGGGAGGAGATAAATCAGTGATTTATCTGCGCACCACTTTCTATCCCCAGTAACCCGGAAACTGGTTCCCCAGTGAAGTAATTTGACAGCTTTCTGTTCTTACGAAAGGCAAAGAAACCAACTAGTTGTAGCTGCAGGCTGGGGTGATCAAACTCACAACAATTTGACTAGGGAACTGATGAGCCAGTTTGTCCTCTGCTCTTTAGGAAATCAAACCTTCCCCTCACTCTGTCATTTCCATGACTTAAGTCTAAGAATGACCTTCAAGTTTTTCCTTGATTTACTGCAAAAGGGTTCTGTTCACTGGGACCAAGATATAATTACCCTTGAGGAAGTCCTTGTTACAGGATCCAAGAGACCAATGCTGTGGTTGAAATGATGGAACCAATATGCGTTCAAAGCATAAGATAAGCAGTCAAGAGTGTAAGACAATTGCAAAATGCTAAATAAAATTATATGCACCAGTGTTCATCACAGTAACAATATAAAATTTCTCTGGATTTCTGCACTCCAGGAGCTCTACGTGTCTCACTGCACACCAGTGAGAAAATCTGGCTAACATTTAATACTAAAGGCGCCTTTTCCACACAGATCCTGTAATAGTACCTAAGGGGAGGCTAGTGTATTTTAGAACATCACCTACTCATGCAAAAACAGAAGGTCTAATTTTTCAGTCATTAAAGAAAGATGCAAAGACAATGAAATCAGTATGTGGAGCAAAAATAAAGGAGAAAGTCAAATACTTATGGCTACAGAAGCACTGTGCTTTCACTAGCCAAGTCCTCCCCATTTTGGGTAGAATCAGATGAGAAAGGAACACAACTCTAGCCTATTACCTGGAGACATACAAACTGTCCAGCAAAATAGTCTCATTGGGTATGTATTACCTAATTTCTTGCCCATGTCTGTTGAGAACACATTTCTTTGGTTCTTTTTATTGTGGTATCTGTGTGTATTTAGAAGATATCTGATATACTGGCACCTCATTATCACACCTGTAAATACATATTTCATGCCCATGGATATTTCATGCTCAAAGGAAAGAAACA